AGGCGCTGACCGGGCGAGCGAGGCTTTGAGGGCTCAGCGTCTCTGACTGCGCTTATCGAAGCCGTGCCCTCCATTTCACAGGCTGTTAGAGCTGCCGGTTCATAGGGCTGCGGTCTTGATTGTTATTTTTGCCTTAACAGTGTCATTCACTCCTGCTGTGTGCTTAGGTTGCTGTGAACGGCCTGGTTTGGAAAAAGATTCTCAAGAGCTCTTTTTTTCTGTGTGAGCAGCTGGTCTTAGCTGTGCTCTTTGCCCTTTTCTGCAGGTTTGGCTCTGTATCCCTCTGTGAAGTACATTTTATTATTTCCTGTTCTTTTTGAAGTACTTATCGTGAAGTAACACCCGTCTGTGCTTTTCTGAAGATTTGTCTGTGCCCTTTGGGATACTGAGTCACAAATAGATTTGAGTTTGGTCCTTGGTTCCCAGAGCTTTGTGTGAGGGAGTTTGGGTAGAACCGGCTCTGACTGGGCCGTGCCTGTGTGGGCAGGTCTGTGTATCCTGCTTTGGTATAGCTCTGAGTTTGTTTGGGTGCTTGTTTTCAGAGTTTAGTGACAGTTGCTGTATTGGCTTCGTGTGAAATTCTGTTGTAAGTACTCCCTTGGCTATGATGAAACTAACATTATTATTACTGTTATTATTATTGTTGTTATTAATTAATTCTGTAGCAGCTGTGTCGTAGTTGAGACTGAGACAACACATGCCATTTTCAGAAGGCTTCAAACTGTTTTTATTATAGCCTGCATGCTTTTTATACATTCTTACAAAGATCATAAGTTTACATTTTACTCTTTTTGTCACAAAAAACAAAGTGCTTCTTGAAATAGACAGTTTAGGTTTCTTTTATTTATCCTTCTTTATTTTTTGGTTTCTATGTCAATGACCTTGGTAGGAAATTCTTTCAAGGGTAATTATAGATCCTCTTATCAAACTCCTCTCTGGCTCACAGAAGTTGCTGTAAAACCTCTTCCACACAACTGTTCTATCTTTTTTAGCTTGCTTTCAAAGATACATCTGAAGAGATCTTGTGGTTGTGTTATTTTCTTTTTTTCCATCTGTTTTTCTGGCCGGTATATTCCAGTACACATGCAGGAGGGTTTTGTTTTATGAATCGCTCAGGTTCAGAGTTTGAGCTGTATTTCAGTCCTCTGAAAGAGGCACCGAAAGGTTCAGTTTTAAAATACTTAGTGCAAGTAGACCTGCAGGAATGTCTGAGCTGGTCAGAGCCCTGCTTGCATCAAAGCTGGAAGCAGATTACTGTGTAAGCACCGTGCTGCCCTTAATCTCAGGTGTTCTGAGAGCCAGGGTGTGTTTGTTCAAGGTGTGGTGTTCCATTACAGTTTTCCCTGAGGTACAGCCAGGGGTTGTCTCTGTGGTGGGAAATATTGTTTTAAAGGAGTTCAGCTTGTGTCTTTGTTGTATTTTGGTATTTTATTCCATGTGGTTGATGTTTATAAGGGATACATTTATAAACTTGTGAGCTCTTGTTCTGCTGGGAGTTCAGGGGAGCAATGTGTGGTTCCAGACCGTGGAAGTGCCGAGCGCAGCTGCTGCCTGGCAAAGGAGGCTGGTTCTGGCTCTGCACTCACAGAACCTGGGATGTGCTGCTGGAAGAGCCTGCCTGGAGCAGGATGTGTCTGTGTGTCCATGTGTCTGTGTGTCCCAGTGGGGCTGTGTCTGTGTGTCTGTGTGTCCCTGTGTCCCAGTGGGGCTGTGTCCGTGTGTCCCTGTGTCTGTGTGTCCCAGTGTCCCTGTGTCCATGTGTCTGTGTGCCCTGATGGGGCTGTGTCCCTGTGTCCGTGTGTCCCTGTGTCCGTGTGCCCTGGTGTCCCTGTGTCCGTGTGTCCCTGTGTCTGTGTGTCCATGTGTCCCTGTGCCCCAGTGGGGCTGTGTCCGTGTGTCCCTGTGCTCCAGTGGGGCTGTGTCCCTGTGCCCCAGTGTCCCTGTGTCCGTGTGTCCCTGTGTCCGTGTGTCCCTGTGTCCGTGTGTCCCTGTGCTCCAGTGGGGCTGTGTCTGTGTGTCCCTGTGTCTGTGTGTCCCTGTGTCTGTGTGTCCCTGTGTCTGTGTGTCCCTGTGTCTGTGTGTCCGTGTGTCCCCATGCTCCAGTGGGGCTGTGTCCGTGTGTCCATGTGTCCCCGTGCCCCAGTGTCCCTGTGTCTGTGTGTCCGTGTGTCCCCGTGCTCCAGTGGGGCTGTGTCTGTGTGTCCCTGTGTCCCAGTGGGGCTGTGTCCGTGTGTCTGTGTGTCTCTGTGTCCGTGTGTCCCAGTGGGGCTGTGTCCGTGTGTCCCTGTGTCCGTGTGTCCCCGTGCTCCAGTGGGGCTGTGTCT